TTATTTATATCCACACGTAGGTAATAATAAGGTCTACAACTTTCATTTTGACTCCGTTGGCTAGTTCTCGACCGATAATAAATTTAACAGTACAAGGAGATTATACTGTTAAACGTCCGCGTAAAATTCATAACTTCTACATACGGACTCTGTTTTCATCTGTCTTTTAACCTTTGATTTCCTATTAATGAGATATTTAACTCTCATTTAGGTCGCGTAAGCCAAAAACTGCTCGAACTAAAATTCGAGTTTCGGGTCGTGCACTGCTAAGCCGAATCTTAGAAAAACCATAACTTCCTCATACGAAGTCAGATTTGGGCGTTCTTTTTATGGATGTTCTTGGTTTAACATATACTACAACTTTGGTTTAAATCACTAAGGCTAAAAATTCCTTCATCGTAAATTCACTATTTACGTCTCCCGGTACCGTGCCGGTTTTACCGTAAAACTTCGGCGAGCCATAACTTCTTCATTATAACTCGGATTTTGGTGTTCTCTATATCCTTGGAATCCTTGTTTCGACCAATACAACTTTATATAATGATATCGGGCTTATCTCATACTTTAATTTTGATGCTTATTTTTATTTTTTATTAATTATACATTTATAATTAAATAATAAGCATATAAATACACATAATTCACATAATACTCAAATATTTCATCTTTATTAATTTAAAAAGAGTTACAATAGTTGACCTAGACTATTACATTGTCAAAAATTCTTAGCCCTGAAACTCGGGCGTTACACTAAGCCTCCAGACCAGGGATGGAATGATGGTGAGATCAGATTGATTTACAAGCTTGAGCATCCTAGAGGACTAAATAGTGTAACGGTTAATTGTGAAGCAGTAAGTGCGTGGCTCCTGAGAATGGAGACCGATTGTAATTGACTTAGTTAATTAAGGTGTTAGATCACTATTAGAGTAGGAAGAATCTGTGATCAACAGACCGAATCCATTTGGTAGTTAGGTTAGGGTAGCCTTTATCAGTTAGAGTCTTGGGCATAGTCTCATGGTGTGATCAAGCGTGAGATTGTCAGTATCAGTGGATGGTTAGGGATTCTACATCCCAGATTAGTAGAAGGTCACCATAGAATCGGAAGATCCCGAATAGAATGAATATGCAAATATTTGGTTATTGGGGTGTGATTTATGTACTGGGAGCTACCCTTGTTTTCATATCAAAGATCTTTCTGGTAGCAATGAATACTCAGGGATTCTGTTTTCTAGTGGTATCAACAAGATAATTCAGGGCCAGAAGGTTCGTTCGGTTCGAGTTGTGAAGTGGAGTCATATTGATTGTGTTTTAGAATAGTTTTGTATGTTGGGAAGTCAACAAGGTATTGGATTTTTGGATTTTAAGCATAGTAGCTGTAACATCCTAAAATTTAAGACAAGGTTCTTAAATTAATAAAGTAAATAAATGAAATATGGCTTATATAGTTAAATTATCAAGGAATAACCATATAATTATTTGATATGAAGTTTAGAAATATAGAACTGAAAATAGTAACATTTTTAAAAAGTTAAAGGGCCAAAAGTGCCAAATTGGCAAAGTGTGCTGACCAAAGGATTGACTCGGTTGACGAGGTAATTTCAATTTTAACCCTATGTATGAAGAAATATTTCATTTTGGCCCATGTGCATGAAAAAGATTGTTTTGGTAATTTAGAGCTGAGACTTAGTACATTGGGCGTATGCTTTATATGTGTGGTGTTCATGCGAAGAGCTTGGTATGTTGGGCGTACACCACATACGTATGGAGTACGTATGAAGGTTTCAAACCCTAAAATTTAGGGTTTAGACTCTATTTAAACATCCTTATTACCCCAAGACTTTTACCCTCATTAACCTCCACCTAAAAAATCGTCCCTCTAGCTAACCCTAAGTAAGAAAAGTGCATCTTGAGCTCATTTGTGTGCTTTGGTGGTGTTCATGAAGAAGAAAAAGAAGGTGGTAGAAAGATATTGGAGCTTAGAAGGAGTTTTGATTTGGGATTCTCACCTTGCTAGCAACCTTCAGGAGGTAAAAAGCACTTAGCTTGATCATCTTTTCTTGTAGATCTATATATTCCTCCATTTAGGACATTTATGGTCCCAACCTTTGTGATTCTTGAGAATGGCATGCTCTCAATCAACTAAGTTGTTCTTGCAGACCCAATAAGGGGTCTTGAGTCATAAAAATGAGATCTTGATGCCTAGTTCATCTCCATGCATGTTCTAGAAGGTCTTTAGGTGTTAAGAAGTTAGGATTGTATGTATTAAGCACTTAAATGGCATGCAAAGTCATAAAGTTGGAAACTTTATAACTCTTAGTGGTATTTTGGCCTTGGATTTGCATTTGGACGAAAAAAGTCGAAGTATTAAGGTCTTAAGTGGTTAAGAAGAAAACCCATGTGTACGCTGGGTGTACCAAGTGGTACACTATGCGTACGCAAGTTGAGACTCGATGCTTCGAACCATGAGTACGCCCCGTGTACGAGGCCTGTGCTGATTCGACTGACTTGGTTGGGTTGACTCAGTATGGTTGACTTGGTTAATTTATTGATTTTGGCCAATTTTGATAAAGGGTATTTTGGGAAAATGTTATTAATTTAGAATGGGAAATGTTTTGATATTTAGGAGTCGAGTAGAGCCGGTTTTCAGAGTATGGATTTATTTATACTGCATTCAGACTGATAAGTGAGTCTTTCTCACGGTATTGTGGGTCGAAGACCCAATGCCGGCCTACTAGACTATTTATCCTGGTTAGGATAGTATTATGCTAGTTTGTAGCTGATTAGTAGATCTATATGATTATTTGTATCTGCTACTTCTGTGTTATGGTTATTTGTTACATATGTCGACATATTGTGTTGGATTGAGGCGGTCCTGCTTTGTAATGTAGGCCAAGACACTCGGGGATGAACGGATAAGCTGTAGGCCCTACAAGGCGGTCCAATCAGGCCAGTGGCCCGTAGAATGGTCTGGATAGGCTATAAGCCCTACAAGGTTGTCCGGACATACTGAAGGCTCGAAGAGCAGTCTAGATAAGTTGTAAGTCATGTGAGGCGGTTTAGTCAGACTGACTGCTCATATTTGTATGCTTGTTTGTTACTGGTGTGTTGGTACTTTTGGGGAACTCACTAAGCTTTGACTTACAGTTTTAATTTATGTTTTCAGGTACTTCAGAGGATCGATGGAAAACAAAGGCGTGATCGTGCACAACTTCCTGTTTTATGTCATTGGGTCTTGGAAAAACTCTAATTTTGAAATAAAGCTTTTTAAAACAATACTGGCTCAGGGTTGATTTTGAAAATTTTAAATTTCTTTGATTTTTGGAATATGTTACAATGTTACATCCTCTATGTGTAACTTGGATACTAAGAGATAAGGTTTCTGATGTTCGGATTTTTTTTATTATTGTACTTTTTTAAATAACTCGTAGATTAAATTTAATGATGGGATCTAAATTATTTTCCAAGTTGCAAACAAAGAGGTTAATCCGTGTCTTAAAGATGCAGATTAACTTTGTAAACATACCAACCATAGAAACATATATTTATTGTTAGTGATTTTGTATCATCAATGTGTATTTAAGTGTAATGGATTGACTTGCTGACCAAAAATCAATCTTGATGAATATTAAACAAGTAAGGAAGGTGCAGAGTGCACACTTGTTTGAGTTTATTCAATATTTAAAGTAAACTGTCATTTAGGGGCGAAGCCCCTAAATGAACGGGGGTCCGGGGGCAGCGCCCCTGGGAGCGGGGTCCAAGGGGCAGAGCCCCTGGCTGGGATCGAGCTGGTTTTAATCTGACTTTTCTATAAATGAACCCGGTTTTTGACTTCGTTTTAACCTTTTTTAATGATACGGTTTTAGAGATAGTTTGTGACTGTTAGAAACTGTTTTGACAGTTGGAGTAGTTTTGGACAAAGAAAACTGCCTTAACAGTTTTCAGACAAATGATATACTTAATCATTCTTTGGTCATAATTTTTTCCTGGTACAAGAACAATCACGAAATCATAACTTCATATTCTCCATTCTAGAAACTCTTATGAGTCTTATCCGATTAAAGGTTGGGAGTACCACCCAAATATTTTAATCTGAAAGTGTTTAACACGATTCTCAGGATTTCCAAGTCTTTCCATACCCCAATTTTCTAACATTTATCAATAAGGTCATGTTATGTTATAAGATGTCGTAGGTTGTTTAACTTGCTATGTTGCTCCTCTTATTAAACTCAAATTGATATGCTAGATCCTACAAAATCTAAAACATTATAAATATAAACATAATGAGAGAGGTGAGGGAGACGATGGTTGTGGTGGCTAACTGTGCTGGTGTTGCTCACGGTTTAGGGGTGGAAAGGGTTGGGGAAGGTTGAGTTTATTTATTTAAAACTTTTTGAGTTGTCCTGTGGTTTGTAAACGACGATTTTACTTCTACATACTTTTAATATGTTATGACATATTAACATATGTGGATAGGAGGTGATAGTCACAATGAAAGACGGTCTATGGAAAAAATTTAAACCATGTGGAACATCTTAAAGACAAAAATAAGTAAATAAGTAAATAAGTAAAAATGAAAGTGAAAATTTAAACCCAAATTTCAAATAACTATAAGGGCCATTTATGAAGCTTTGTGTAAAAGTATTTTACCAATGTTGGATTCCTTGTTTCTTGTTGATACGTTCAAAAGAGATAAAATATATAATAATTTTCATTAAAAGGAAAAATCAAAGCCAGAGTCGGTCACTCCAAGAGGTTAGAACAAACGATCAATCGTACGAACAGTCACTCACCATAGGGCACGTACTTTTTCTTTTTTCCTTTTAGGGTAAATAAAGAATTGTAGGGAAGGGGTAATTAAGGAAGATTCTGCTTCCATTGACGATTGACGAGGCGCCACTTCTCAAGGATATAATGTAGAGAGAGGTATAGAGATAGGGCATAGACATCGGAAGTGGAAAAGTTAGGTCTGGGTGTTGATTTGGAGAGGGGATATAATTAAGATGGGACGGAGGAAGTTGGAGATGAAGCGAATCGAAGATAAGAATAGTAGACAAGTGACGTTTTCAAAGCGGAGATCAGGGTTGAACAAGAAAGCCCGGCATCTTTCCGTTCTCTGCGATATCGACGTCGCGGTCGTCGTCTTCTCCTCTCGTGGCAAGCTCTATGAATATTGCAGCGGCAGTACGACCAGGTGAGTCATATATCGTTTTGTGTTTTGACTTTTGTTTGATGATATTCTTGCGCTTTCTGCTCTGTACACGTGTGCTTATATATATGTTGGTTATCTGCATAAAATTTTACGACATATATGCGATCTAAATGTGCACAATAAGCGATTTCACGTGGAAGGTATTAGGTACATATATAATATTAGCAGGTAGCGATGTACTTGATGACTTCATTATTTCCAGTCATGTCTAATTTGTGGCGAGTTCGGATTATTGAGATTAATATAGTAGGTTTCAATCGATCATCCGATTAATTCATAAGGGATATTGACATGGGGTTGGTGAACTGAAAAACTCTTCTATCTGAGTGTCGTCTGTGGTGATATTAATGGAGACGTGATATGTTCGACTCGAATTTCCGTAACAGCTTCATAATTTTCTTTCTATTTTGAAGCCAGGCTATCGCCTATCGTCACGCTATTTTCATTATTTTTTCAGGGTAAATCCTTTATGCTCACCTTATACCATAGGTATTGCATTTGTTCTTGTATGCTTGTTGTAGTACTTACTAATTCTGTTTCATGGGTTTAGGCACGTTTTTTTATTAGAAATTGGTAGGTATTTAATAGAATATGTATTGGAATTAGTTGATATGAACTTTCATAATTAAAGGCCTTTTTATAATTCAAAGTTTAGATGACGTGTTCGAGCAAGAAATCAAGTCCATATGGTCGACATGGCTAGAGACCCTAAAGCTGGCTGCTATTGCATCATTGTTATTGCTCGTGTGTCACTGCTAAAAGCTTTCGCGACTAATGCCCTTATCGTCGATGGTGATGTCGCCTTTATGAGGTCATAGGGTATAAACATCGTTACCTTTCCCTTTACGATCTCGGTCACTCTCTTTTAATTCACCAAAAGACAAAAGACACGAAATGATCACCTTTCATAATCTTTAATTTTTTTTTTATTTTAAAAAATATTTTTTTATATAAATATTATACTTATTTGTAGGGAATTAAAAATCATGAATTTTAATATTTTTTTTATAAATTTTAGTGTGTGTGTGTGTGTGTGTGTGTGTGTATATATATATATATAGGGTAAAGTGAATATATCTAACAACCTTATATAAGTTTAGGTACCTAACCATATTATACTACATTGTTTTGCATTATATTTCCATTGTAATCATCTAAGGTTCTTAAACTTCAACCCTTAACTTGATTTACTTCAAAGATATTCAAATATTTACCATTATATTCTTCCTACACCATTTGATTTGTAATGGTAGTATATGAAGTCCACCAGGGGGTCTCCGATAGAAAGACGTCATTTGAAGGAAGATAATGGTGAAAGTCCAAAATTTTTGGAAGCAATCAAGTTATGATGTTGAATTTTAAGAACTTTGGGTGATTCCAATGCAAATATGATACAAAATTACATAATATGATGCAAATATAAAGTTGTTAGGTATATTCACTTTACCCATATATATATATATATATATATATATATATATATATATATATATATATATATATATATATATATATTACAAAAAAAGAAAAAAAAAACCTTGACCAATCACACAAAGAAAGAGAGGGCATGGTAGCCTCCCCTCATCCTTTCCCCGCACCCCGTACCTCTTGAATAACAGTGGTGGTATTGTGTGACGGGGTGCAATTGCCTTTCTCACACCTCTTCCCCGATCCACATCGACTGACCTTAGTGTTGTTGTTGTCGTCGCTATTATTGTTTTTTTTTTAATTACAGTAGCTACAAATGCATAAAAACTGCTATTAAAATGCATAAAAGAGTGGCAAATACAGTAATGAGGAAAAACATAATAATGATAATATCAATATAACACACTTAGTATAAAATTCATAGTTGTTTGTTACATAAACTTAAAACATACATCAAACATAAAATAAAGCTAGTCCGACTCGCCATCCTAGTTTCCCTAGTTACCTCCATAATTTTTTGTGTCGAGAACGATCGAATTTACTCGACTAGTCTATATATCTCTATGTATCGGGTCTCTAAGCATACTCTCAAAACAATCCGACTAAAAAATAAATATGTATATTAATATACTTATATCAACATATATAAACAAAACTACCAACGTACCAACATACCAAACTACCAAAATATCAAACTACGGAAATGTAAACATTAACCAAACCATAAGTTACCAACATACAAAACTATCAAAAGAAAGTATATTAGGAGATTCTTACATTAATGCATTATTCATCATATAGAACTTGTTTTTTCCTTTTTCTTAAGAAAATAATGGTAGAGCAACTTGCATAAAGCCAGACCTATCCATATGATTTGCAAAAGGGAATAAGCTCAAACTATAAAAATTGTAAAATATATTAGGAAGTCATTGATGGTTCATTCGAAAATGCTTTACATGTACAACCTCTTTCAAAGTGAATCAGAGCAATGGATGGGAGTGCTGACTGTATCACATGCTTACCTTTGATGGATGTGGGAGTTTTATATTAGCAATATATAGCTCTCTAACTCCATATGAAGTTGAATTGACCCCAATCGATTGCATGGAAGATGGCTAAATTCTTTTATAACAACATGGCAAAGTATTAGGGAGTACCACAAGTGATTGTAGGAGATTGAGATCATTATTCAAGAAAATAAGGACAATAGCGTCGATTGAAGAAACTTATTATTGGCCATGTATAAGGGAAATGTTGAAAACTTATGTCTTAACATGCTTAATGTCCTAGAGGGACAAGATTAAGCAATGTTAACCAAATCCATCATTAACTTTAACAGTCTATGGTGGAGTGTCGACTATATCGCATGCTTACCTTTGATGGATGTGGGAGTTTTATATTTGCAATATATAGCTCTCTAACTCCATGTGATGTTCAATTGACCCCAATTGATTGCATGGAAGATGACTAAATTCTTTTATAAGGACATGGAAAAGTATTGGGGAGTACCACAAGCGATTGTAGGAGATTGAGATCGTTGTTCAAGAAAATGAGGATAAAAGTGAACTCTTATGAGGGGTGAATCATTTACTAGGGCTTATGTTTATGGTATTATTTGAGTGTCCTACAAAAGAATCATGACAAACCATTTAGTAACACATACTTTTTGTATAACATACATGGAGTGAGGTTGTGTATTTTAGATATCAGGATAAATGTTTAGAAGTAATAAATAAAAAATTATTAATTGATAATGCTAATGTATAATTCGAGGTACATTTTGGTCGGGCATAGGTGGTTAAAAGGTTTAGCAAGACTTTACCAAATATGGCATCCTACAATATATGTGAAAACATCCAAAATCTAGGACAACACTCTCGACCCCTCGTCTAACATTGTAACCTGTAAGCATCGACTATCGGCTAGTGAGCTAAGCACAAGGAAATTCACTTATGTTGTTAGCCATACGACTTACCTTAGACTATGTCTCGACCTTAGATCTAAGTTGGTATTTCATGATTGTACCCAAATTGTACCTACTGTGTGATTTTTTAAACTAGAGAGTATCCAATGAGTACACTATAACACTAGTCATGGTGTTTTCCATATAAACATAAAAATTGTTTGAAAATTTTGGGGACAAATTATGATTGTATTCCATTACATCATATTGTATCAAATATCAGAGTATCACAATAGATAAATACGGAAAGTGCTGGAGGGTGAATGTTGCGCCATCAAGCCAGACCCTTCCCCTTAGTACCAGAAAACACCCAAATAAACCGTAAGCAAGAGCTTGGTAGGTTCTCAAAATATCCCATAACATACATCCATAAAATTCCATGCAACATACATAAAGTTGCCATGGGCTACCCCCATGGTCTTTACCTGGACCCATGGTCTGATATCCAAGTGTCATGGGCTACCCCCATGGTCTTTACCTGGAATATCATGGGCTACGCCCATGGTTTGATATTCAAGTGTCATGGGCTACCCCTATGGTCTTTAAACAAGTTCCACGGGCTACCCTCAGGGTCTTCATACATTCAATGTATAACAACTAACAATCCACATATCAGGTATTGGGCCGACATTAGTGCCTTCGACCCATGGATATGGTGATAATACTTACCTCAAAATGCTGATAAAAATACTGCTTGGCTACTGGTATGGTAATCTCACACTGAATATACACAAGATATCCTAATTAGAATTAAATCATGAATTCAAGACCTAAGTCCAACCTCCTCTAATAAGGCCCAAAAGTCTTTCCTTCAATAATAGGTCTAACATCAAAGGTCCAAATTAATAATGAGCCACAAAGCCCAAAAGGCCCAAACATACCACCTATGGTCCAATAACAAGTTCAAGGGCCCAAACTTGAATAGGTTCAAGGCCAAGATTAAACAGGGCCCAAATGGCTCAAGAGCTCATCAGAAGACCAAAATCCACTGAAAGCGTACACCTAACGTACATCTTCAATACACTTAGCGTATTAGGTCCTCTGACGGTACGCTCAACGTACAAACAAGTATGCCCAGCGTACAAGTTGTTTTTGCACCAACAGCCATTAAGTGCTTAATATGCGAAGACACTTCGTCCAAAACCAGATCTTTGTCATTTCTAAGGTCCTAGGGCATAAAGTTGGCAACTTTATGCTTTTGCATGCCATATGGGAACCCAACACCACATTTTAGCCCTTAAGACTTCCTTTAAGACTTTAAACTCTTGCATGGTGCCATAAAAACCATCAAGCTAACATTTTTATGCTTTTAATATGGAAAATGAGCTCAGATCTAACATTTCTAAGCTCTAGAGTTGATCAAACTGACATGAAAGGACCCATTGACAAAAAATGTGCTCATTACTAAATCCTAACTTAAACTAGCAAAGGAATGAGCAAGACATGAGCTTTTTACCTCCAAAAGCTCCTCTAGTTGATCTAGATGCAGGATCAAAAAGCTTTACCACGTTCAAGGCTTGATCACCACTTCCTTCTTGTTGCTAACAAACAAAAAGGGTTACCCTGGTCACTTTCAAACTTAAATATCACT